TGTATGAGTGAAATTTGTGTGTAGCCCCTTTGACTGTATACTTAGATTGCTCAAGAGGTGCCAAGGTGTTTATTAACAAAAAGACCTTCTACAGAGCAGCTCAGCTGTTTATGAAAACTGAAGTTGTAGGAAAAACCAGACTTAAGTCAAGTAAGCAAATAATCACACAATAGAAAAAGAGGCAGGGAGATTTTATATTTTGGGGAAGAACTGAAATTATTTCCTTGAAATCAATAACAATCAATCATCCATTTCTAAGTGGCATTTCACTTTGGAGATAGCAAAGTGAACTCATCATTCTTCTCCATAGAGCTTCTTAACAGCATCTTTTAATTATATTTCACTTTTAACAGTCCTTAGTGGTAGAGGAATGGAGTATGATCTTGGCTCCCTTAGCACGAAGGATGTGGTTCAAAACCCAACCTCTCTTCTCTCTTGGGCTGGCAGCCTGTGGTTTCCAGTAGCTGATGTCTTTTCTTTTGCAGTCTGCTGGCATTAGTACATTAGTGACCTTTAATGCGGAATTCTCCCTGCACATGTCAGCTGCTGCTATCATTCAGGGGCACCGTTGCTCAAATGCCCAAGGTCAGTTCTCTCTGCAACCGCTTTGTTTAAGGTAGACTGGGCTTAATTTATTATATTTATCTGTGGATGTCACTTGCCAAGTTTTATGATACACAAAAAGGCGCCATCACTGCAAGGGATTTCTCTCTCACTCACTCTCTTTTAATGTTGCAGCCAAACTGGAGTGGAGAGACTCTGGCATTTGCAGAACAGCCTTACATATTTCAGTTCTTAGAAATTATCAGGTCTCTACACAGTGAGGGCAGAAGCATGAAGAAAACCAGGACTGGGCTTACTGCACATCTTTGGGATAGTAGAATAAGGGATACCAGTGTGAAGCAGGAGATGAAGGCTTGGGTTCAAATTCTGCCATTTAGTTTATCTGTTGACTTTGGGCAAATCATTATCTCTTAGCACTGGCCTATCCCACTGATGGTGATGAAAATGAGAGGTGATGAGAGAAAATATAGATACTATCTGTAACCCCAGGAGAAAGATGAAATATATAAGTAAGTTAAAAATCAATTAGAAGCAGGATTTAAGAGGAAGCAAATGCGTAGGAAAAGACAGCATGAAGCTACTCTGTGTTGACCATTAGTTTGAAATAGGCTGGGGATATTGCTTTAAGAGAAAAAGTGGACAAAAATTAGGCTCCCTTGTTGTAAAGACTGCATTCCTTGATAATGATAGTATCTTGAAATGCATTTTAAATAAAGTGTATTGTGCTTTTCTTTCTGTTGCTTAAGTGGTTTGTTATTTTTTCCCCCCATGTGTATAGTTTGTTCAGCTATCTGATCCACCTTATTGATTTGCTAAAGTAGACTAAGCCTATGTGGTCCCTGAAATCCTTGGAGACAGGACAGAACACAAAATTCCTAAAAAAGAATATTATATCGTTTATCCTTTGGCTCAGGATCCATCAGTTGGATTATTCCCATCCCCTTCGTTCCCTGTAGCTCCCACTCATTGAAATCTGTTTCAGGGTCCCCGATTCTCCCCAGATGATTTGATAGTGCTGGAAGCTAAGGGAATAGGGAATGTTTAAGCTGTTATGTTAGAGGAGAAACATAACTGGATTTCACTTTATAACTTTTGCACTAACAAAATGTCAGAAGCTGCCAAAGTTCTCCTTCTTCTCTCCCTTCCCTTTAAGTACTTCAGACTAGATAAATTACTCCTTAAGTAAATGCAAATTGACAACACTACCATGTCTCCTTTTATTATCTCTCAGCCTCTAAATAAAATGATGATGATGTAATCATTTTTCTTCACCTAGCTATGCAAGAGAAAAACAAGCCCATCTTCTGTGAGAAGCCATATATTTTAAAGTATAGTCCATACTTGAAATTGCTGGGACTCTGAATATCCATCAATACAATAGCTGTCCTGTTTAAACATATATATAAGTCACAAATCATGTGTTTTTCATCTATTGATTTCTATGGACTGCATGGATGTGAAATAAGAACAAGTCTGATCTTGTAGGATTATGGTAACCTGAAATTAAAAAAACACACACACAAACAGTAATTTAAAGGCATACTTTAAAAGCATAACATTCACACCCATTTAGAACACAGACGTTTTGCAGCATTAGCAGTAACGCTTATATGAAAAAATCGGGATAAACCCTGCTCTGAGATCTTCCACATTGTATCACACCAAATCTTATTCAACTTTCTTCTTCAGTCCTTCACAGCTATTTACTGTTGGGTTAAATAGCAGCTTAATGCAGATTGGTGGCAAGAAAACTGCACAGGGGAGAAAATATTAAACCCCATTCCTTGTGGACATCATCCTGATCAGGCCTCTGGTAGCTTTTTCTTTGGGATAAAGAAATTAGTGCTAATCAATTTTTTAAAAATTTGGGTTTAATGTGTAGCTTCAACCATCGCCCAACAGAATCCACTTTGTACTGTTAAACCAAAATACCTAAAATACTTTTGACCATGTAATATCTATTAGCTGTAGAGCTTGTACCATACCAAGGGCATGAAGACATAAATCTGCCCTTTTGAGTTGAGTTTCCCTAAAACTAGTAGGTGATTCTATTGTCTACAGCTCATCTGCAAACAGCCTTAGGAGTAATAAATCCCCCTTGAATAGTGGTAATATGCCAACCTTGTGTTGTGTGGGTTTCAAGCCCAAATGATATCAAAATTGTAAGCTAGCTAGTTGATAATGAAGCTCAAGCTCAGATACTTTGGTCATCTAATGCAAAGAGAGGACTCCTTGGAAAAGACCCTGATGCTGG